ATAGCTGGCCAGTCAGAGCACACCTCGCTTTTCAGACCGATGAGTTTTGTAAAAATCGACGCGTTTCAGAAAGGGGGGGCATATAGGAGAAACAATAATGTACAGCATGTGGAAAATAATGTGTTTTTTTGAACCTTAAACCATAAACACATTTCATTACACCAAATACACAAAATAATGTTCTTTTTAGCAACATCATATGACCCCTTTAATTCTTTTTTCCATTTTATTTTTTTCTAGATTTTGTGTTTTATGATTCAATACAAATTTATCATTAAAAAATGGTGTCTAATGAAATTAATTAATAAATAATTAATTGCTTGATCATTCTTTTAAAATGTAATGAAATTAAATAAATTTACAACAAAACATTGCATTTTTTTAATTTTCTTTTTAAAATTCCGTAAAAACAATAATAATAATAATATTACTACTATTATTACTTTGAGAATTATATTTTAGTATACAATAGTAATATATTTCTGACAAATTCTTCAAGTTAAACCAGACTTTTAATTTGACGTGTTATCGTGAAGTTCTTTCAGTTTTACTTTCAGTTTCAGTGTGTATTTGATAGTAGTTTTTTTTTTTTTTTTTCAAATGAAACAGTCATGCAGACTTATTAGCGGCATACATGGACTGGCTGCTTTACTTCTGCTATGTAATAGACTGTAAGATTAAGCCATATCAAGTAAAAATGTCCAGAGCTTATCTTCAACAAAATTTTCGATCTCAATATGATATTGTTTTATCACCCATCCCAGGTAATATTGTAAAACAACAACAAAAATTTTAACTCTGAAATATATCTTTTAAAATGTTTAAATATTTTTTCATTTTTTATATTTTTCCAATTAAAAATCAAGGACACTAATAAACAATGTCACTGACCCACATCTATCATTTATCATTTATCAATTTTAATTTTAATATATATGTAAGAACATTAAATATGATTATTTTAACCAGTGGTGGACAGTAACGGAGTAGTTTCAATTTGTTACTGTACTTAAGTACATTTTTCAAGTATCTGTACTTTACTGGAGTAGTTTTATTTTGAGTAACTTTTACTCCACTACATTCCAAAGCATAAGATCGTACTTTTTACTTCACTACCATTCCAAAAACATATCGTTACTCCTTATATCACGTGCTCTGACACGCAGAAGCGGTGTCTAATTCAAGAACGAACTGATTATTTTCAATGAACCTTTTAAATCGGTTCGCAAATCGAGAATTAACCGATTGCAGCTATTCTCGAGTCGACAACTCACTGATTCAAATGAACCGTTTAGTGCGAGTCTCCAGTGAACTCCGCGTTAGTGTTGTTGAGAATGTCAGCGCTGTTTCATCTGCCTTTGACATATGTGGTTTGTATGGAAACCTCTGCTCCAAACTCAAACGCTTCTCACAGCGCTGTTTAGTGGTCTCGTGATCGAGATCAGTCAGCGCGTAAACGCATTTGTTCTGAGCTCGCGCTACGCTGTCTTTAGGCAGAGCTAAAAAGGGTGCGTGCAGCGCGGTTCAAACGAGTCGCGCTCTTCCGCTTTTGACGCGTTTAGGAATTCGCGTGCGCTAAAGAAATGAGAGCGCATATGAGTTATCAAATTGATATCACTCGCGTTTTACTGCTACATCTGGTCTAAAATGTAGTGCTGCCATCTTGTGTTGACATTTTGAAACTGCATAGGCCTATTTTGTAAATTATGCTTGGCGGGCCATATATAACATAGACTATTAAAACAGCTGCGGGCCGCTTAAAATTCATCCGCGGGCCATAGTTTGGACACCCCTGGCGTAGAGGGTTGCCACTGAAATGCTTGAATGGCAGACACATCAACATCAGTGTCTCTGTTTTAGGTAAAAAAAACAAACAAAAAAAACCATTAAAATAACACGGATTAAAATAACTCATGCACGTTCATATTCCCCGCTGCCGTAACGTTAACAGTTTTATTCAAATGCTACGCATTTAGCCCTATGTGTCGTCTGTTTTTATATTGTTTATCAACAGTATACATTTTTATATTGTTTGGATTAACTAGCCGAGTAGACAGATATGAATGTTTATTCATAACCATACTGAAAATAATTAAATTAGAATTAGAAAAGAAGAAATTAAAATTAGAAAATAAGTATTGCTAGCTGATGCTAACTGTCTAGCTAACAAGGTTGCTGGTGCTAAATTTAGGTAATTTTTAGATATAAAGTCCAAATATTTTTTATTCAACCACCTAGATAGATTACATCTGAGGGAAAATAAAGGATGTGATGTTCAGAACATGGTAACTACAGTTATTATCAAAGTGGGAGAAGTAATGCCCTCTGGGGGCATTTGAACATGGGGTGTTTTTACACCACAGACAAGGTTTGAGAAGAAAAAAATCATTATGAAAATATAATTATATTTTCCTTAAAATGTTCTTCCTAACTTCAGGCCTTATTCTCATGTCATATATACCTGTGATGTTCTGCAAAACAACAAGCTTTAAAACACTTTTTTCTTACTGGTGAAAATCAGATGGTCAAATCTGTTTTCAGGTACATTGCAGTGTTAAGCTTCATAGTGAACACTAATACATCACTCTCGTCAACGTAGTCCATATCAACAACACAAATATATCTTGACTCCATATAGTGGTTATTTTGGGAAAATCCCAGGTATTTTGAGCAGTAGGATTATAAAAAAAACGCACTGGATAGCTGGCCAATCAGAGCACACCTCGCTTTTTCAGACCGATGAGCTTTGTAAAAATCGACGCGTTTCAGAAAGGCGGGGCATAGAGGAGAAACAATAATGTACAGTATGTGGAAAATAATGTTTTTTGAACCTTAAACCGCATAAACATTTCATTACACCAAATACACAAAATAATGTTATTTTTAGCAGCATCATATGACCCCTTTAAGTACATAAAAAAATCAAGTACTTTTGTACTTTCACTCGAGTAAAATTGAAAAAGGAGTACTTTTACTTTTACTGGAGTAATATTTTATTATATGTATCTGTACTTTCACTCAAGTACTTGATTTGTGTACTTCGTCCACCACTGATTTTAACACATAGAACATAGTCCAGTAGTAAACACACAACTGAATAAGCAACTGGAAGAAGCCTTTCACCTTGATTCCATTAAAGTTATCCACAGCCAGAATGGTGCTCCTTTGATCTTCATAGCACAGGAAGCAGAATCCTTTGGATTTGCCCGTCTTTTTATCTCGCACCAAGTTGATGTTGGCAATCTCTCCGTACCTGAGACGCACAGAGGAGGATCAAGCTTTACTAGGAGGAAAAAAAACTGAAGTGCTGACTTCTTTAGCAAGAAATTAAAACGTGTTTGAAATGTAGGCAAAAACATGGGGATGAGCAATTAGGACTTACTGAGAGAAAACACAGATGGCGTCTCCTTCTGTCAGCTCATATGGAAGTCCACCTGTAGATTACAACATATTTACATACAGTGCTGACTGGGTTGGCATTAAATTAAATAAATACATAATTCACTAATAAAATGTTGTTACATTTTTTAACGGTTCTCTTTAGTCTGGCGCAATGAATATACATCACTTTGAAACTTGACAAGGTCAAATCAGGATTACAGTACTGTGTACTAGAATGGGCTTCAGAGAAAGACTGAGATCATGCCATTTTGTACAGAAGCACGCTTAATCAGTGTGAAATAGATGAATGCTGCCACCATCTGGCAGAATATAGCCTATCCCAGGGATCTCCAACCCTGCTCCTGGAGAGCTACTTTCCTGCAGACTTCAGTTCTGCTTCAACACACCTGTCAGTTATTTTCAAGTAACTCTAAAGACCTTGTAAAGCTGGTTCTGGTGTGTTTGATTAGGGTTAGAGCTGAAATCTGCAGGACAGTAGCTCTCCAGGAGCAGGGTTTGAGACCCCTGGCCAATGCAGAGAGCATTTTAGTGTTTAGTCTAAGAAGCCCATTGCCCAGTATTGTTAAGCAGTCACATACCGATAAAGATCCAGGCGCTTTCCTTATACACTGAATGCCAGGACACACTGTCTTTGACATCAAGTTCAGCCTCTTTTTCATTCAGTTCATTGATGAGTTTCACTTTGGTGAGCGGACTGCATATAAACAACAGAGATAAAATGAGCATACATTTGCACATCTTTTATTCTGTACACAATTTATTGTCTCTATTATTGTTATTCTGTTGTGGCGTCTGCATCATAAGATCAACGTGTGTACGAATTTATGATTCTTCTATCAGGGGCATTTATGACTACTTGAAGTCGTGAAAAATGAAATGTTTCAACATTTTATCACAAATATCTAAATGTGGCAATAAAGTAACCTGTAATGTAACAAGGATGTTTGTTGTTTTTTTACTATGTATTCCGAAAGAGTAGTCGTCTTAGTGTTTCATTTACGTTAACCCGTTTACTTTTCTTGTCATTTGTCGGTGTCCCATAAATAATCAAAAAGATTAACTGAATCGAGAATAAGGAAAGTAGTTTACGTTCATGTTTTAGCAGATGAATAATTAGCATTTGGCTACTGCTGCAAAAACTGAGGCCAGTTATTTAGATTTCAACTTCCTGTTTCAATCCTGACCGGTCTAGGAATTTTCTTAGACTAATTAGAAACATATGACAACAAATGCACGCGAGATATTTCAATTCAAACATTCAAAACATCACTTACTTCATTGTGATGAGCCGCAGCCACTCCGGAACGAATTCTTTCGGCGAGTTTTCGAAGTTCGCACGTGGTACTATTTTCTTCCGGGTTAGGAATAAAGGATTGTGGGATATGTAGTTGACTGACTCAGGTTATTTGTGCATTTTCTGCGTTATCATTACTTATTGTGTGTTTGTAGCTCAGAGTGTATTTCTCAAAATTTGCAGCTGAAGGCCTGAAGCAAACACTGATAGTTTTATTTGCATAAAAGGTCTTCAATAAATTAAAATAGTAGCCTAAACAGCTTGGTTTGTGTATATAGACCTATAGCCCAGGGCTGTCCAAACTCGGTCCTGGAGGGCCGGTGTCCTGCAGAGTTTAGCTCCAACTTGCCTCAACACACCTGACTTGTTAGTTTCTATGCCTAGTAAGAGCTTGATTAGCTGGTTCAGGAGTGTTTAATTAGGGTTGGAGCTAAACACTGCAGGACACCGGCCCTCCAGGACCGAGTTTGGACAGTCCTGAACCCGGACACCTGTGGCAGGGACCTTTGGGAAGCTCTGGGTGACTACATTATTTAAACATGTTTGCGTGCTGCAGAACTTAAACTAAAACTTAACTAACTATAACTAAACTAACTATAATACATACTCATAGGCAAGCAGTCCTGCAAGATACTAAAACAATTGCATCAAGCCAAGGCAAAGATGAAACCAAGGCATGCCAGCCCCGCAAGACACTAAGGCTGGAGGGGATGGAAGGGCCACCCATACAGTATCAGCCTGCCAGTCGCAAGGCTGACTCTCCCAGTGTTGGGGAGTAACTAGTCAAATGGGATTTTGTCATTTAATTACAAAATAAATGTAACTGTAATCTATATAGTCTAAGAAAATCTAATCTATCTGAATATTTTCTGAAAAAGCTAGGATATGTTGAATAATATTAATTTGTTGCTTTGCCTGTTTTTGATGTGCATGATGCCTCCTGCCATTTAAAGGCGATTTAGTAAAGCGATGCTATTCTGGTCCTTTTGATTGGGTTGCGATTGAATTTGCAGCGCACCACATCTGCCAATTACATCAATCCACATTGCCGCTGAAAGCTACAAACTGTCTAAGAGTTGCCACCATGGCGAGTGATAAAAATGTGTTCCAGTGTTTTAAAAGTGCATTCCAGTGCACTTTTAAAACAGTAAACCTCTGTTGTGCAGCACTTTGTTTGCCAAAAAATAAAAGGGTTTAATTTTCATGTGATTAGGATAAATGAAATGATTGTTTTATGCCTTCATCTGATTACCAGAAAAATTAAGAAAAACGTTTTATTAGGAAGTTTTATTTATTTTATTATTGTTTAAAAAAGAACCCTATACAAAAAAAGAATAGGTTTAAAATACAGGCCTGTGGCTCTTAATTTCTTTTTATTAATTCACCATTTGTAAACTGATGTTTACTGTTCATTTTTTAGAAATATCAATAGCATTTGTATTAAAACTATATTCACTGAATGTAATAAAAAAAATTGAGAATCGAATCGAATCGAGAGCTTGCGAATCGAAATCGAATCGAATCGGGACATCTGAATCGATACCCAGCCCTAGTTCTCACTCTTCTCAAAGTACTCAGGAGGGCAGTACCTTGCTGTCCTGGAGGACGGAAGTTTGTTTTACCACTGCATGTTTTGTCACTTTACTCTGTCCTCATTTAATTTAGTCTATGAAAACACTATTATGATTGGCTTTTTTTTTCGCTCCACATTCTCATCCTGAGCTTTGCTGGATTTGGTGTGGGACAAACAAAAGAAAAAAGAGCCAAACCTCCAAAACCTCCTTGAGGTCGGAGGGTGTGATTGGCCCCGTGTACACACTCCTCTCCTTTTCTCTCTACGAGACCATTGTTGTCCCATGATCAACACGACAAAACTCTATCAACAACTGAATAGGCTACACAATGTAAACACTGTTGATAACAGCAGGTGAATTTCATGCTTTATATAGTCCAGTGTCACATTCTGAAACCCATATACAGAGAAATACAGAGCTGAAAGCAGGAGAACGTTAAAACTAGCTTATATAGATGGATGGATGGATGGATGGATGGATAGATAGATAGATATTGATAAAATTTTAAGTTCTTTAAGCTTAGGCTATTAATCTTTGTGTGGTTCAAAATGTATATTATTATTAGCATTAGCAGTAATAGTATACAGTATACAATTTCTAAATTTAGTTTTAACATTTTACACAGCACTTATGTAATGAGATTTTAACATGATGTAATGTGCTACACCTGCATTTTTTTTTTCATTGACCATTAGATTATTTAATAATTTACCTGAAGAAGTGGCTGATAGGAAGTGGTTGGGATTCCTCTCAGAACCACATGTGGGCGGCAGACATTGCTTTTAATACCTTTCTAAATTACCTTTTCAAGTGGTTGCTTCTTTGAATCAGAATATACTGGAGATTGTCCTTTTATAGGGGACTACAAATAGCTACAGTATATACTTTTTATGTAAATGTGATATTAATGGTTAGGTCAATATTAAATAATTTTATTTTACTAATTGTACTTTGTTAATTCTATAGAATTATTAATAATTTATCCAACGCATATTTTGTAATATGTACTTCATATAAGTCTAAAATATATTTTTTTTCTACCAGCAATATAAGAGAAACATTTTCAATTGAATTGTTACAATTTTTTTATATAGTGCTGTTCACAATGAATATTGCACAAAACCATTTTACAGAGAATATTGCCCTATCAACAGACATCTTATTGAAAGCACTCATAACCAGCGAGGGTCATATAACCATCAGTGGGCAAGATGACAGTAATGATGAGAAACCCTCTACAAAGATACAATACAAATAGTATTTAATTTATTACAGTCATATATTTTACAACTGGAAAAAAGTGGAAATTGGAAATAAGTGATTTGGTTATATTTTGAACGCACTGTGTTCAAATAAAGCGGCGTCTGATACTCTGGGCTCCGCATCCATTTAGGGATGTAGCATTTTTCTAAACCTTTTACAGTTTCATGGTCAGTGGACTAAAAGGATATCCTATCTATTGGAAATATTTTCTGGATGTTGTTCAGGAATTGTGACAGACCTATTGTAATTTAATGGGGTGGCTAGCATCTTGTCATGAAACCTTACAGCCTGATTGACAGTCGGGTGGTCTGTGGGGCATCTGTCTGCCGTCTCAGAGTGTGTCACACAACACAACCCGACTTTAATATGAGCGAAGATCTCACAGATCTGGCTTCTCACCTCCCGCTGCCAGCAAGCATAAACAAGAGGATTTATTAGGGAGTTTGAGAGCCCCAGCAGCCAGAGATGGTTCTCCAAAAAGTCATAAAGTTCACAGGTTGGACATAATGCCTGCACAATACTGACCACAAAAAAGGGGCACCAGCAGAGCGTGAAGCAACCAATCAGCACGGCAACAGTCCGCAGGGCTTTTACGTGACCCCAGTAACGGCTAGACGTCAGAAAGCGTGAACCTGCTTGCTGGGCACGGATGCGCATCTGATGGCCACAGGCAATTTTCAGGATGTCCATGTAAAAATAGATGAAGACTGAGAGTAATGGAAAGAAAAAAAGGCAGAAGACCACAATGATGCTCTTTGGCTCTATGACGGAGAAGAACGTGCAGACTTTGTGATAGCCTTCCTTCTGCAACGGTTTCAAAATGCTGGGTGAAAATCCCACAGTCATTGAGATGAGCCAGACGGGAACCAGAGCCCCAGCAATCATCTTACCGTTCATTAACTGCGAATAGCGCAGTGGCAACTTTATAGCTACGTAGCGGTCCAGTGAGATCAAGAACATGGTTAAGATGGAGGCTGCAGAGGGTGCCATGATAAAGGTCATGCGCAACAAACAAATGCCCTTCTCCATGGAGGCCGTCGTTCCTTCGAGAGCATCAGTGGCAATGCCAGTGATAGCCACGCCAACCAGGATGTCCGCTATGGATAGGTTTAAGACAAAACACCAGCTCTGGCAACCCCTCTTGCGGATGAGGAGGACCAGGGCAATAACGACTAAAAGGTTGGTGGAGATGATCAAAATGGATCCCGCACTAAGAATATAGCCCATGGCCACTACTTCTCTTTCTATCACAGCGGGGGTTGTGAGCTCTGGACTGGGTGCTGTCACTACGTAGTTCTCCCTCATAGTTTCCAAGGATGTCTCCTGAGTCACATTGAAAGCGATCATTGTTGCATCAATTTTTTTTCAAAGTTGAAAGAAGTTGATAAGAATTTTAATAGTTTAAACAGTTTCAAGAGGAAGAAATGGACACTAAGATGTAAATTTACTTTTCTCCCATGAAACAAAACATCTTCCTTCTTCTGCTCTTGTGGTTTCGTTTGTGCGCCCCTTGTTCTGTTTGGCTATCATCCAGGTCCCATCAGAGCATACTTCCTACTGGAAGCGGCAATAGCCATGAAATTGCGATTATTTTGAAATTACAACCTAGGTGCAAGAAAACGTTGATCTACTGATGAAATCTTTATCCTTGACTTTTCATAAAGAAATATTCTTAGAAGTTTAAGACTGTTCCTTGCCTGAAAAAGTGATAAGAGCCGATGAACTCCTTTCTCATGAAATCCAATCTCATCACAGTGAAAGAGTCCAATAAATTCAACAGAGAACATATTCCAACTGTGGAAAAGATGTCCAGAAGAAGGATTCCAAGTGAGGAGTCATTCTTGCATCTCTCAGTGCATCTTTCAGATTCGGTTGGCTTTAGGATGAAGGCAAAAAATCATTTCTTCCATTTAAAATGGGGTTATGTGCCAGTGTCCGTTTTGTTGGCCGCAAATCTGAGATGTTTCTCTACCAGCATGGAATCAGTCTACTAACTTTGGACAACCTAAAAGGGGGAAAGGAAACTGATGGACGTGAAAAGAGGGTTGGGTTTGGAGAGAGGGCTGGGAGGTGGGTGGACATTAACAGCATGACTGTGATTACTCATGAGTGAACAAACTCTAAATAAACAGAAGCGCTCATGGGTGAATAAATGCTTACCATATCCAAACCCTTTTACATTTTATCATTGGAGTCAGGGTCAGTGCACAGATACTGATATATTTTGGGACCAAGACAAATCAGTTAATCCAGCAACCTCTTCAACTTCTCTCAGGAGTCATGGGAATGAGTCAAAGCCCTCAAGTACAATGGACTTATAACCACACAACTGGTTTTTAACAATCTGCACATAGTCGTCCATACCGAGGAAAGATCTGACAGTGCTACACAATAAAGCCAGACTCCCACTGGTCAACAATGTGGGAATGTTATTCATCCCTACTAGACTGTTCACTGCTATTGAAAGTAGATTTT